CATAATTAAGCATAAATTAGCATAAAGCTATGAGTTTAGGTTAGTATACTTAAATACTGCAGATATTATAGACTGCAGTCTTCAACATTTGTTTTAATGTACATTTTTTCATAGTATTTTTTTTAATTCATTCTTTAAATTCATTTGCCTGCGGGCGCCCATGCCCCCCTTCCCATTTTTATTTTTAAATTTAAATTCTATCATATTTTTTTATAATTTTTTTTTTTTGATTCTTAAAATTCATTTTTTGTTGGCGCCCATACCCCCCATCAAATTTTTTTTTTATAATTTTACCCTAGCTAAACTTTTAAAAACATGTTTTTAAATTTTGATAACAAGTTAGTATCTTATAAAAATAAATAAATAAATTTATAATGTAAAATGAATAAAAATAAATTAATCAAATAAAGCAAATTTATTTTTATTAATTTTATTGGATTAATTTATTTTTATTAATGATAGTATTATAAACTTTTTTACGACGAATATTTAAAAATAGTTGATTTTATTTTTATTTAGACTCTATGCATTGTGATAAAATTAGTCTAAATATTTCGATGAAGTGGAAATTCAATTAATCAAAGAAATATACTGAATAAAGATATAAACAATAAAATTAATACATTTTTTATTATTAAAAATGTACAGACAGAATAGCATAAATAACTTCAAATCGGTCTTAGGTTGGGTTAGGATCTAGATTTTGCCTCACTAGATCTAATAAAATAATATTTATGACAAAAAAACCAAATTTCTTCATTTTATAATTGTTTTTCAATCCAAGTGATATACGTGCTGACATCAATGTAAACACCAGGTATTGATGGACTTCCGCATCCAATTCCCCAAGATACGAGACCAATGAGATGTGAAACTGAATCATGTTCACACACTAAAGGCGAACCTCCATCACCCTATACATAGAGCACATCGGTAAATAATATTTTATTAAAATAGTCTTAAATGGTTAAATGTATGTCGTAGATAATGTTATACCAATAATATACATTATACAGCATATAAAGTAGAAATTTGAGTTCCCCAACGACCGGGCAAAATTTGATATAAATATACCTTACAAATTTACAATCGTTTTAAAAGTGTCCTTAAATAAACATCTTGAAAACCAAGAAGTTTTATTCGTGAGGTCTGTGAGGAGACAGTTTTCACTTGTCAAAGAAACAAGAAAAATCGATCAAAATAAATGGAGAAAAAAGGAAAACAAATACAATTGAGTTAGACTGACAGATTTAACAATAATTTAAAATGCCGAAAAATTGTTTTGAGTTATTATTTAAGATTATGAACAGAGAAAAAAAGAAGTTGTGAATAATGAATTTATTACCTAGCCGACCGCGACATTTTGAGTTAATATAAATAACTATCTATTATATACTACAAATTGTCTAGTACAACTTATAATTTCCATAAAATTCGAAATTTGTTTCCAAGTTACAAAAATGTACTTATATCACGAAACGATGTTCACCGAAATTCAAAAATATCATACAATCAATTATATTTCCTTAGGCAAGTAATACCTTTATAATGCCTAATATTTTATTGAATTTAGAAATTAAATTTGATGAAAATGTATATCTTTTATCAATGTCACCATAATGGCGTATTATATAAGTATAACTATATTTATACCTATTACCTATATTGGTATACAATAATAATATATGTACGTGAATATTGCAGATCGAATGCGGTCGTAAATGAATTGATTTATTTAATAGTTTGTTAATTAAATTATACATCCACAGGTTACAATATAGTGAATATAGTAATAATTACTAAAATCTTAATTAACTCATTACCTACCTTTTTGGGAAATTTTAATAGTGTTAGAAAATATTCAAATTAACATGCCTGTCTGTATTGTAACAATCATATTGCAATTCACTGATTTCGCTCACCCTGCACGCATCTTCGTTCTCCTCTCCACCAGCGCACAAGAACCCCGAGTGCAACTTGAACGTGGCACCGAGTCTCGTGGTCCTGAGACTCTCGACGCACCGTTGAAGGTCCCACAGAGGTACTGGTACCTTCTTGAGCACGCCTGGGTACCGCGGCCGGTCGAAGCTCTCCGCACCCCAACCGGACACTTGGCAATCGGTCCACCGGCGGCGGGGTGACACGGTATCTGGTGGCGATTTCGGCGGCAAACACACAGGGCCCACGTGGTCGGTTGCCGGCACCGGAGGGCCAGACAGAGTGATCACCGCGATGTCATTGTGCATGTTGGACGGCGAATAGTCGGGGTGGATCGCGATGTTGGCCACGGGCCTTTCAACATGAGGCCGTGGCTCCACGTCCCTGTAGATATCCCAGTCGCCCAACCGTACTTTTAGAGAGCTGAAATTTCTGTAATACACACGACCGAAACGTTTTTATTTTTTTTTAACCATCGAAATTGTTTTTGTGTCATATATTCATATATACGCAGAGGGACGTCTCACCCAGAGACGGATCCAAGAGGAGGGTCAAGGTACCTCTAAAGGTTAAATGTTATATGTCTAGGGGCCGGAATTATATTCTTTTGCATATTTTTTTTTTGAGCCTATGCAGTCAGACGGGGATTTGAAATCTTCACAAATCATGAAACAGGTTAATTAATGGCAAAAGTTTTTTTGCATCTTTGAAAATATTTCAAGATAAAAGAATATTTTGTATAATAAAGAATATCAGAGAATATATCGATACATTTTTATAGATATTCGATATTTTTTGTTGCAGTGGCGTAAATTATACGTTGGATAATAGTGATATACTGATATGATATTATTGATTTTGATATATTATATATTTATACACGTAATATAACCATCGTATTTCGTATGATCATTATGCCCTAATTAGTAATGTACTGCTGTAATAAAGGAATAAGTGAGTATAAGTAGCAAGGAGTCAACAATTTCCCAGTCAATCCATACTTAATGTAAAACAGCTTTTGACTTAGAAACCATAGAAAAAGATATAATATCTATTAAGGCCCATTTTTTTGTTCTTGAAATATCGATCAAGAGGTTAGAAAAGTCGCTTGTTGTTGTCACAAATGTGTCACTTGTTAATTCGATAAATCTAATTGAAAATAAAGGAGTCCGAGCAAGAACGAGATAACTTCATTTTTTTTCGAAAAATGGGGTTTTAGCTGTTTATTATCAAGAAAAAAATTACGAGTATATCTCTGCAAGAACGAGACAATTCCGATCATTCGTATAGGAGATATAAAGTAAATGGAGTTGTCTGGTTTTTTTTTCCGTTGAAAAATCAGATAACTCCGGAGTTATCTGGTTTTTGCACCCAATGTTGTCTACACTGTATTTTGTATATTATTTTATCATACTAAATAATTTTAACTACCTATACATGTAATATTACTAATTTATAAGCTAACATGATTTCATTATATACCATTACATATTTTAACAGATTATATAACTATGTTACTTTTATTAAAGTTTTGCAGGGTGAAATTTATTTTGTTTTGTACTATAAATGTTATATTTTTGTCTGAAAATGATACATGCAGTTATATTTAAATAAATTAAACAAATTTCCATATATAATTAGAATGAATAATACTATTTTATTCGTTTTATGCAAATTGATGAAAAATGGATAAATAAAAAGTTCGAAACCAAGATAACTCCAAAAATGATATGTACAGTTAAATATTTAAGTAGAATTTGTTTTTTTTGTCTGAAAATAATTCATAAAATCATATTTCAATAAATAAAACAAATTTCTAAAATATAGAATGAATAATAATATTTTTTTTGTATTAAAACAAATTATGAATAAATAATAAATACATGGTTCTGGCCAAAAAACAAGATAACTCCAAAAATGTAGGTTAATATTAGCTATCATCTCAAAGAAATTAAGAAAATCAAATCAATTACTACAGCATCTTTTTTATCGTGGTCTAATGTATCTAAATTAATTTCCAAATTATATTTATCTTTATTTAAATATTTTTAAAATTACATTATCGTTTTCTGAAAAGTTTTGAAAAATGGAGTTATCTCGTTCTTGCACGGACCCTTTCAAATACAATTGGTCTACTTAAAAAAATACCCAGAGAAAATGGAAATAAAATAAAAATAAAAATAAAAATTGATCAACTTCAACAAAAAATCGATGGCTCATCATTTTGAAAAAAGGTAGCTAAAGTTTTGAACGGATGAAGTTCAACTTAGAGATAATTTTTCACAGCCTATGATGATTACTGATTTGCAAAATTCTCCCGTGGCTTCAATTGGCATCAAACGTTCTTTAGCACGTATACAAACATATTAATAGACCGCCGCGCGCCGTACAAATATGACACCAGAGCACATGGAACAAAATATAGTTGTCAACTGTTTTCAAAAATTGTCTTTATTAAAAATACCTTATTAATACAATTTAATCAATTTTTTTGTATTATTTTGCGTATAAATGCATATTTTTAGTTCATGAGAATAAATTAATAAAAAAGCATATTTTTTGCATATTTTATTATGATTTTTAAAGAATATTGGAAGAATATTTTCAACTTTTTAAGAGAATATTAACATCTTATTTTGGCGATTTTAAAAGAATATAATTCCGGCCCCCAGTTATAACTAATATCTTATTTCAAAAATTATCAAATTGCAGATAGAAGATACTGAAAATTAACATAATATATAAGTAGTCGTAGGTTCTAGATATAATATTTGGTATTACATTACTTTGAGAAACTAGTCAAAAAATGAGCTGTAGATAGTATATGTTTATTGTCTATCAACGCTCCATTTGACACGAATGAATTTCCATTTGTTAAAATTAAAGCTTGCCAGGGAAATTCTCCAAATTTAGCCTGTAGTAAAAATAAATTAAATTGATTACATTTTATATATTAATACTTGTGCAGTATTTAAAAAGCTAAAAATAATAGTTTTAACAATATCATCATAATATATTAATATATCAAACATATTTATTGTGGCGTATTTAAATCTGCCAACAGTGGCGTATTTTAAACTTTTTTTCTTGGGGGCCCAACAATTTTTTTAATTCTAACATTTTATAAGGGTTAGTATTAGAAAATTTTTATTTATTTATTGTTATACTTAACGTTGTATAAACACCATCTACGTTGTACTATATAACTTAATATCAAATTAAAATTTCAATATCTGTAGTTATCCTTTTTGGGAGTGAGGGGTTGAGGGCTCTGTTGGGTCCACTACTCCTGGACCCCACCCCCTCCCCCGGTAAATATGCTACTGTCAGTCAACATAATATACATAAAACACAAAAAAAAACATATAGGTACAACAGTTAATCTATTTTATCAACTATCGTAAAATGTATTTAAAACAAATCTTAGTTGTAAAACGTAGGTAATATCTATTTCTGTCTAATACATTTAGTGAAATATAAGTTTTCACTATTGTTAAACAAAAGGAAAAGTATAAAATATTTGTAGTTAAGTGAATGATCTGTAAAATGTACCATATTCCATATTGTACTAATTTATGAAACACTAATGAATTAATTACAAATTACAATAAATATATTTTTCTATGTACCTGATCAGAGCTGATTTTTATCCCATCAATATTCTGCAATGTTACCTTACCACACATTAGTAATGGGTTTTCTAACGATGGGTCAGAACAGCAATGCACTTTTCCAGGTGGACATTTATCTGGTTTCTAAATATTAAAAAAAAAATGTCATCAAGACAAATGAAATGTTCATATTATACAGAAGTATAAAAAAATAATAACAGTACTTACTGTGATTATTCTAATGTCTATGGATGCATCATTTTCATCAGATAAACATTCAGATATCATAACACATTTACATTCTTCTATCCATTCTGTTTCGTGAGATGGTTCTGAAATATTCAAATATTAACAAAAAATATTTTAGGATTAATTAATTACGATATGAAATCTGTCATAGTACATACAAATATACAATAGGTGGCTACTTATGTATACTATTTATATAACATACTGTAAAGTGTAAATGTTTAAGATTATGTACTTCTACTGTAAAACATAACAATAATATACTTACTATCTTTTTTTGTTTGCATTTCTAATCTGTCAAATGATACTGCACTAGTAGTACCATTTGGTTTAGAAAACTGTATTTTGGAAAGAGTTAAAAACATTATGAAACATACTGTTTTCAAAAACATATTTTTAGTGACTTCTCCCGATACCAATACTTACTAAAGTATGGAAAAAATTTAAATCATGCACTCTATAAATATGTTTACCTTACAATACATTTTAAATTATATACGTATTGTATAATTGTATACATAACAATAATTGTTACCTACAATTATAGAATATCAAATTATAGTACAATAAATAATATGATTTGTAATTTAGTAATAATAAAGTGCAATATATTATCCAGTATAATATTATTTAGTGGGTCATGAAGTCAATTATTCAACAGGTACTTATTTTAATTGGATAAATTATTTTAGATAAAAATAATAAAATACATTGTCATGCAAGAATAAGTTTTATAATAACTGATATTACGGCTACACAACGTTTGTGACCACATCAACTTCCCATCCAATTCCTGAAAATATTTTTTAATATATTAATACAATACAATATTAAATAGCTAGATACATTAACTATTAATTATACACTTTTTAACTGTGTAACTATTTTCTATTTTTTTAATACATTTAGCAATAAATTAGGTATGACAATAGATAAAATAAGTATAAAAGGTTTATTTTTTTTTTCAATTTTATAGCACTGAAATTAGAAAAAAACCTACGTCTCTATTTGTTAAACATGCGATGACTCAAGCCCGGTTTAAAGGGGCCATGGCCTATTGTGTGGACTGTCACAACTATGTTCATATCTACTGAACTATTTAATAACATACTTGAATGTAAAATATTACTGAACAAAACATAATATTTAAGATAACTCACCACATTCATTGTTTCCTATGGCTACGTGAATATATCCATCATTGCCAAAATTAGTTCCCCAAGAATTTTTCAAAATATAATATGGATTTTCTCCAAGTTTGTACCCAACTATTTGTGCTGCATGATTTAACGAGGCCATACTGTTATCGCATTGGCTGAGTACGCCACCGACATAAAACTGCCACGGCAATGCATTAAGAGCAACAGAAACTGGGCTTTTCGATATATAGGATAACAATAGATCTTCACGATCCATCAAGCTAAATGGATATCATGGTACAATATGTATTTGATTGAGTCAAATTCATGTAATATATAATTGTAATGGCTTACTTCAGTGTTAAAAATGATTTTACTTTTACTCCCTTATCAAAAGTTCTGTAACAAAATACTTTTCATTATTATTATTTTTAAATTGTCATTGATTCAATTGCATTAACGCACTTATCAAGTGTACACATCTGATCTTTGTATACAGTTGGATAATTTTCTTCTCTATACACAGTAATGTTATTTTCCACCAGCCATAAGAGTAAATATACAACACTTCCACCTTTACATCCTTGGTTTATTCCTCCCGAACAATCTAACATCTTACATGATACAAAAGGTTTATTTACAATTTTTACAAAACAATAAAGACACAATAACATAGAATTACATAGTTATACATTTATTATAAATGGGTATATTTTCGTATAGAAATAAAATTTTGAATTTTGAATTTATAGATTTTTGAAAATGATAGTGGTAGGTTAGGTAATCAATAGACTTATGCACTAATAATGTTTCAAAGACTTAAACAATTATGTTATTAAAATGACTAAATAATGCTCTAAGCTACCTATGTAACTTAAATTATAGGTGAAAAACAAGGAAAACGACATATAGATAAACCTGCATATATGTGAAAATATGCTGCATCAATATGATACCAATAATTGTCAAAAATACATAGATTTGTCGAATGTACCAACATTTTGCAAAAATGCAACAATTTAATTAATTAATTAAATTAATTTAATTGTTCAATGTTAACAATTATTATGCCTAATAATAAATAATAAAAAATTTCATAATTGTGTAACATAATAATTTAGAACTGCTTTTTTAATGTATTTATTACCTATTTATTATAATTTATAACTTATAACATGAAATCTGTTATACATTTCCAATGAAATAATTTTTTTTGACGATTTTACCAAAACTAAAATTATTAATTTGTCCGTTATGAAAAACAGCTATTCTAAATTACTCACTTCTTGCACACTAAATGTTTGTAACAATCCTGTTTTAATGGCATACACAGATTCAATCAATTCTACCACACTTATTGCCCAACAAGCTCCACAATTTTTTTGATTTCGAACAGAAGACACAACTCCTTTATCCCGCCTTGAAAAAAAATAAAGTTACTGTAATGCTATTATTTTTTTAGAACAAATATTGCTTAAGCTAAAATAAATATTAGGTAAGTACAAGTGTACTGACTATAGGTACCCTCTATAGTTACTATTTTTACATATTAACATTATTTAACTAAATACATTATAGTATTATTATATTACTTAAAACCATTATAATTTTTAGTATCACATATTTTAATTAGATATAATTAATCAAGGGCGTAGCTGGCGGGGGTTCGGGTTCCGAAAGAATCTATTTTTATTTGAGTCTGGGTAAAACGATAAAATGTTGAAATAATGAATCGATCTTTCAACTTTTCTGGCGAGGAATTGAATCTTATTGGTGCAATCGAGAGATCAAAATTCCAAATTATTGTACCCAAAAATAATATTTTTTTAACTTACAACAAAACGACTAAAATTCTTTGTTTAAATTAGAACTTAAAATGTCTATGAAAAAAAAACTGTAGGGCAGTAAAAATGTTTCAATTTTCTAGTCTGAATCTAGTTAGTACTTTGGGGAATTAAAAGTAAAAATTCATAATTGTTTTTAAATGTGGCAGGAAACTAAATTTTGTCTTTTTGTCAAAATCGATTTCGGTGTGTATATATTTCAATATATTTTGCCTCTTATTGAAATATTTAAAGGCATATACAATTTTATATTATTATTAGTTTTGTTTAAACTAATGTCAATAAATAATTTTCACTCGATCAAAAAACTTGAAAATGTAGTACAAGTTAACTCGTAAGTTTTTAGGGGATATTAAAAAAAAAGTTAAGCTTAAGTCCACAATAATTTTTTATGGGCCTTTGAAATTCAAATGTTGACAAAATTCGTAAGAATCACGAACATTTTATATTTTGAGTTAGAAATTCATAAAACTTTCTTTTTGTATCGAAAGTTTCAAAATTTTGACTCGTAAGCAGTTTACGAACATAGTTTTCAACTTTTTTTAGTTTTTCTTTTATAAATGTCAGTACAATTTTATTTGTTACGTCAAAAAGCTTGACAATTTATTACAAAGCTCCTGAGATATTTTTACAATATCAGTTGAAAAATATTAAAAATACATTGGTATAATTTTGTTTTATAAGAATTTAAAGTTTACATTTTGACAATATTTATCATTTTGAAAATGTACAGCAGAGAGTAGTCCACTGACCATCTCCCCCCCCCAGTGTTTTTGAAAACTACTGGAAATTGTTTAGTTTTACTTCCTGAATGTAACAACTAGATCCACTTCCCCACCAGAAAAGATACCAAAGTTGAAAATTGAAGCATTATTTCGAGTATGTATAGGTAGGTACTTCTCCTGTACATGTGCACAACAAATATTTTAAAAAAACACACATCATTGAAAAAACAATACATTGTCTGCTCCTCTCATAATATAAAATAACTTCTGTCTACTACGTTACTTTTTCGCCACAAAAAATTGCTTATCGATATTGTCATTCTTATTAATTAATAATTAGGTAGATAAACTGTTATAATTATTAAAAAAATAAATAGTAGCTACTGCAAAATGTCAAAATGGTTATAATAATTTATAACACTGCTATTAAAATATTTCAAATTATCAGAGCTGTAACGAATTGTGTTTTATACTAAGATTTTCGAAAACTCCTGGAAATTTTCAATTTTGACCTCTTGAATGCACCAACTAGGTTTGAATTTTTCACCAAAAAAATTACTGAAGTTGAAAAGAATTATATCGACTTCTTATCGTGTACACAGATACAAAAAACACTCATCATTTTTAAAATAAATATACTCATTGCTTCGTTCAGAATCTAAAATAATATGTTTAAAATTATATTTTCCAAATCTAACTTATAACCGTTATTTTTAAAATAAGTATTATGATTTAATACACTTATTAGAAAAAATTATATTATTTATAACTTATAAAAATGTCATATTTCTATTATCTAGGTATTTACCAGTCAATGCTTGATAAGGTTGCTGTTGTAATAGATCGTTTAGATCTCACCATACTAAAAGTTCCTGTACTACGCGGTGTCCTTGAAGTAATTGAATTAAGGTATATTTTTGTAAATTCTTCTGTTGACAAATCTGAGAACTCTGTGATTCCATAATTGGTACAGCCATAACATCTTTGACTCAAAAGTTGAATAGTTTTCAGCGATTCCTGAAAGAATGATTGAAAATGAATATATTATTGTACGCCTAGGTATGCTATATAAAAGTACAAAACAATAATTTTCTTAAAATACTATCTTAATATTTTTTAAATACAGTCTCTTTTCTAATAATATATCATTATTCATTATAGGTACCTAAGTAGTTACATAGGCGAAAATAACCCATTTTTTTCGGGGAATAAAGCCCCCTCCTAAAATATTTTCTAAAAATGGTATATGCTTAGTATTGAGTGGACACTGACTTTTAAAATGTGAGGACAAAGTCCCCCCAAGCCCCCTTATTTGAGCAAATAGGAAATTTTATAATAATAAACCCTTTAGTTGTAGACCAAGTTACAGTGATACTCATTGCATGGACCTGCTTTTTAAAATAAAATTATCAAATTAATGTTAATTTAAAGTGGTAATTTACATGTATTATTTAAAGTTGTATAAAAATATATTTTTTACACGATTCACTAAAATTGAATGAACATTTAACAAATCATAGTTCAAATCGTGTTTAAGTCTTTAAGGGTCATTAGCTCTTTACTGACTCATTAAATGTTAAGTGATCATTTATGCAACCCAGTAGCTAATATGTAAAACTATGTAATACAATTTTATTATATCCCATTATTTATAAGTAATACTTGTATAATGTACTACATACTGTTACTGTCTCACCTTAAAGTGTTTGAACCTCATATTATGTTCCGTATCGTTCATGTAACTCTTATTATACATTTTAATGAATTTATTGAATTTATCTTTGTCTCTGTTTAACTGTTGGAATGACATAATAAAAAACAAAATTAATACTACACAACTGACAACAAGCGATGCTTTTAATATATTTGCAACGGCCATTATTTTTAATTTATTTTTACAGCATAATAGGAGAGTGCTGTTTAAATTTGAACACTTAGGGTTATGACATTGAAATCAATATGAATAACGAAGAGAAATGAGAAATATGTAGGTATACAGTTGGTATGGCTTCGTTGGGTAAATGCAGTTACATAAAAGACATCCGATAGGTAACTTTTGTAAATTTGAACGCTATCATGTCACCATCTATACAATTGATTAAATGTTAACTTGAAGAATAGACTAGGTATAGTATAATGTTAATTACCTACCTACCTATATTATATTACCTACATAATATGTGATTGTATATTTATACAAACCGGTTTTCTTTTTAGTTTTTACTAGAAACACAATTATTTCTTTTCAACAATTATATTATAGTAGTTAGTAGGTACTAGGTAAGTAGGTATTCAACTTATTATCTAATGTTTTTTATTTATTTATTTAAAGTAAAGACTTTAATATAATGGATTGTTAGCCATGACAGTTGTAACACTATCTAATATTCTAATATAGAAAAATGAATGTTTGTTTGTTCTTAATAAACTCAGAATAACTACCAGACCGTTTTCAATTAAAGTTTTAACAGTAAATTCATTAAGACTCGGGGACGGTTAGTAGCTTCATTCTTCAGCCCATATAAAGGTCATATACCATATATCAGGATCTTTTCTAATAGAAAAGTGAATGTAGTTGGTTCTTTCGGGAGGTGAAAATTCCCAGTAGTTTTTGAAAGCGTTAGGAAAAACAATACAATAAATGAATAATAGGAATTATTTCGCAAAACCAATTTTTGACAAAATCGATTTTATTGTTTTGTTGTAATTCAAAAAATAATACTCGAAGACAATTGAAAATTTCATAAATTATTTATATTAGCATTTTACATACCTGGTAAAATTTTAAAACTGTTTTGATTCTTTTAGAAATTAAGTCCATAATACTAATATTAGTAATATTAATAGTTAAAAGGACTACAATTAAGTATAATATACAATATTATGATATAAGTATGTATTATATAGAACACTGTTCAGGAAAAAGCGATTTTCCAATACTAATTACTAGTATTCAATTAGTTTAAAGCCGTTTAAACTTTAAAGTAACTGTTAATGTTAAGCCGTTAAATGGTCTGTAGGTAGGAACCTAAAATTGTCATGGTTTTCTTTTACAAAATTATATACTTTGAGTAAAACCTTTAAGTGAAAGCCTTAGTACACGGCTATAGATAGTGTACCTATACATAGCTATTAGTTATTAATAACTTATTACTATAGTTAATCGTGGTTACTAATTACTTAGTATTGTAGTAGCTAGTATATAATCCCATTTTTTTTTAGCAAATACATCAGTGACTGCACGCTATTTATAGAATAGTATAGTTTAATAAAACATTAATGCCGATCCTACATAGAATATTATGGGCACGATATAAAAGTACCCAAATTCTTTTTTACTTTTGTAAATTTCAAAGCCTAGTTTTGAATTTCTCTCAAGTCTCGACACTTTTAGAGTTTTGTTTTAAGTAATAGTCTTGCCTTTAAAACTAAAAACAATATTGTGAGATGCAAGGAAAAATAATGAACTCGCGACAGTAGTGTGGTCAAATAGCCCATACGCAGAGTTCCGTGTTAAGAATTGTATAGATTTAAATACTACAAATAATATTCTGTTTCTGAATTTGAAGAAAAAAAATTATTGTGTTACACAAAGAAGTTGGAATACCTTATGTTATTAAAAAAAAATATTTGAAAAGCAAGTTTGAAAAAAAAATTATTTTTATGCTTTTGCATTCCCTTCTAGTTTATTTCTAATTCAATCAATGCTTAAAAATCACAAACTGTGTTATAAACAAAAAAACAAAATTTATTGAAGTTAATTGTTAATATTAATGAAATAATAAAGAGTTTATAATGGTATTTATAGTTGGGTAGACAGATCTATATTATCATTAAAATAATTGTACTTAGATTTTAGGAAAATAATTATGTTTACTCTAGGCTCTAATGTGTCATTGAAAATACTTTATTCACGATTAAAGTATCCATTTTTTTATTACTTCTGTAAATATCAAAGCCAAATTTTGAATTTTTTTCACGTCTCGACACTTCTAGAGTTTTATATTATGTAATAGTTTATCCGTTAAGACTAAAAACAATATTGTTAGATGCTGGACAAAAAAATGGACTCGTGACAGTAGTGTATCTAAATAGCCTGTACGCAGAGTTCCGTGTTATGAATTGTATAGATTTAAAAACTCCGAATAATATTATGTTTCGGAATCTAAAATAAAAAATGTATCGTGTCATCCAAAGAATTCAAAAACTCGAAAACTGATAACAACATATTATAATATAATATCTATCATCTATGGCAAAAGCTGATCGTCGTCACTCGTCGGAGACGATTCACAATTCTAACAATTTCATTGAACAAAGGAGAAATGTGTAAGGCAACAATAAACATTTGCTCACATATTACATTCCACTCAAGTAATTTTTATAAAAAATCTCTATTTTTTCAGTTCGGGTTTAGATGAAGAAAGAAGTTCCTCGATATGGCGTTTGCACTCCAGATAATATGTCCTTACAGCTATATATTCCTCAAACAGTCGATATACGAAGAGTATACGTAAGTTTGATTACCTATCATTTTGGGGCTTACATATTTTACTTTTTAGACTCAAAATTAAAATTTATTGTCACGGACAATTTGCTACCCGGGTGAAGTAGGGGCATATTTTTTGTTCCCGAGCGTGCAACACAAAAAAATACGCTTGTAGTACAAACGACGACTGCATATTCAGGTCGCAGAATAATAATATATTTATACGATTAAATAGATATAAATAGTGTTGTACATACTAGTAATACTACAGTAGTACAGTAAACGGGAGTCCTTATGTCCTGCAAAATTCAACAATTTTTATTTTTAGTTTATATAAACGTTGAGTAATATGCGAATATTACTATGCCGTCTGCTTGTGGTCGAAACGCGAATTAAAGTGACGCCGTCGTACAATCAAATTATTTTATAAAGCTGGGAAAGTCGCTCTGCTGATAATTGAATATCTATTGGAAATGAAATAAGGAAATTTTAAATTTTAAATAATCTTGAATAGCTTAAAATGTACCTAACCAATGCACTCAAAATTAATACAAAAAATATTAGTTATTAATTTCGTGCTCGGCAGTATTCAGAGAAAAGATTTAACTTGGAATTTTACAAACTATAGTTGGTATAGGTAGTCGATGTACGGTAAATGTGATACATTGGGCACTGAATACCTTTATGTTAAATCTAAAAAGTAGTAATCACATTTATTTACAATAAGATTTTTATTTATAAACTCATAAAAAAATATGCTTGTGCTTCGAATATTTAAAAACCACCTTAATTAATTATTAAAATAATAGGTACTTTACATATTGTTGTAATTTAAATTTTAAAATTATTAACTATTTTGGTTATTGTCATAAATAATTTCATTATATTAATGATCAAATCTCAAGCACGGACCTCCTTGATATACAATTTTCTAATATACTATGTATCTATGGTTTTATCATATTGACGTAGTATAAATTATAATGCAATCCGTGGCGTTTGTCGAAGTAGTTGCAAAGTCGCAATCGATCTAAAATTTCAGTTAG